GCCAAACTTCGCTTCCTTAGGAAGTATAGTACACATTTGTGGAATCCGTGTTCGTTCTTTGTTTGCTTAACAGCCCAACATCTGAGCTCCACTTCTGCCTCAAGGGGAGTCTTATAAATTATATACTCTGGCTGATAAGGTTTCAAACTTCATATTCAGAATAGCTATTAGAAAGTATTCAGCCTGGGTGGCTCAGTCCATTAAGCCATCTTGCTTTTGGCTCACGTCATGATCCCAGGGTCCTGAGATCAAGCCCCCCCCGCGTTGGGCTCCACACTCAGCAGAGAATGGGCTTGAGATTCTCTCCCTCTGCCCCTCCCCCAACTCTCTCTCTCTCTCAAACAAATAGATAAATTTTTTAAAAAGTATTCAGCATATGCAGTAGGACTACCAACAAGTGAAACTTATTTTCTGGGGTGGTTTAGTAAAATGTCTCCTTACTGAATAGTGAGAGTTCTGTACTTTTTTTTTTTTTTAAGATTTTATTTATTTATTTGACAAAGAGAGACAGTGAGAGAGAGAACACAAGCAGGGGGAGTGGGAGAGGGAGAAGCAGGCTTCCTGCGGAGCAGGGAGCCCGATGCGGGGCTCCATCCCAGGACCCTGGGATCATGACCTGAGCTGAAGGCAGATGCCCAATGACTGAGCAACCCAGGCACCCCTGTACTTTTTTTTAAATCAAGAAAACATATTATTTTTCTTATGTGAAGTACTCTATCTTCAGATTTTCTAAATTCCAACGCAAATTCAGTTGAAGAGTATTTAGGTGAAACACTTTTATAAAGCGGCAAAGCCATTTTTTAAGAACATAGGATCAAGAAGTCTCTCTTCCTTTTGCATGTACAAAGGGTAGAAAGTTACCAAATCCACAAAGTGTGCCAGGGTCTTACTGTCTCTCAGTACTATAATTAGTCATTCTTCTGACTTTTCAAAGCAAGATGATTTGGGCTCTAAATACATATGGCTTTGGTTCAAGTACAAAATCTTTGTTTGGGGTAGTCTGGAGGCACTCAGTGAGTTTTCAGGTGGAGGATGATATACAGAATTATTAATTTAAATGACACTCTTTATCAGAATCCTGAGAGAGGGAAACTTCATCATGAAATCTTTTTCACCCTCTTTACCTTTTCTTAAGATAGCTACTGAAAAAGCAATTTGTAGAAAAACCTTTCAGGAGTGACTTCTAAAAGATAGCTGTGAAAGCAATGAATATCAATTCAATTTTTCAGTCCAAGGAGGCATAAAAACAAACCAAAATATGTACCATGACATCTCCATTCACTTAACTCTCTTATAATCTGTACAGAACTGTACAAAATGAAAGGTGAAAAGATTCTCCTATACTTCACCCTCTTTTTATCTCCAATATTTCATGATAAAAAAGCAGATATCCTAGTAGAGCATAGCGACTCTGATTAACAATACTGTACTGCATATTTGAAAGTTGCTAAGAAAGTAGATCTTAAAAGTACTCATCACAAGAAATAATTTTTTTATAACTGTGTGGTGATGGGTAGTAACTAGACTTATCATGGTGACCATTTCACAATATATGCAAATATCAAATCATTATTTTGTATGCCTGAAACTAATATAATGCTATATGTCAACGATACCTCAAAAAAGCATATATCCTAAAATAGGTATCTATTTGCATTCATACACATTTTTGCACAAAAGCCATTATGTTGTTCTGCACCTTGTTTTTTCTTTTTTCATTTAATAGTATATAAGAAACAATTTGCCACTGAGAAGGTCTAACTGTATGAATCATGACTTTACAATAAAAGAGAATAAAAACTTTAGGACCCTTACACAGTGGTATTTTGGCCTAGCCTGAAAACCTCAGAGGCAACTAGCATTTTCAGATAAGTTTTTAGATGACTTTCGTGGCCAAAAAAAAAAAAAAAAAGGTCTCGGTTTTGGAGGTAAACCTTCCTATATTTGATTTCAAGCTATAGAATTTACCAGTTATGTGTCCTTGGGAAAGTAAATTGACCTGAGCCAAAATGGAACAAACAGCACCTAGATTACGGGATTGTTGTGAGCATCAATGAGATTATGTATATAATGTAATTAGTGCTGTGATCACATAGTAATCCTTCAGAAATTGTAGTTTTTTAAAAATGTAGGTGTGCAGGAAGCCTCCATTTTCCACATTAGCCTTCATCTTCCCTTCTAGGAAAGCCATGTGGGTCTTTAGCAGTAAGTCCTCCCAGACTTGGCATCCTGATTTAGTGACCAAGATCATTTTCTGGACCACCACGAAGCAGTTACTTAACCTGTGCACTTCAGTCATGACTAAATCTTCTTCGTTTGTATCTGAATCTTCTTTTTTACAAGAAGCGTTTCCTCTTGTTTGGCAGAACACTGTGTACCCAGTTAGGATGTCTCCAGTGTCACAGAGAAGCCCAAGCGCTCGGCATGGCTCTAGTCCCAGAATCACCTGAAGCTGGCTGCAACCCATGTTGCCATTCTTCCCAAGGTGGCCTCTCCATGACTCTCCCCATCAGCATCCTCATCTCCACTCCCTCCCTGCGCCCTGCTGCTAATGCTCTGTCTGTGTTACTTTCTGGGCTGTCTCTCGTGGGGCCCCTACACCTTTCCCACACATTAGTAAGTAACCCCTCCTGGACCTGGGGCAGGCCACCCTGACTGAAACACTTCCCAGCTTCTCCAGGACACTGGCGAAACTCTTTGGGAGTCAGGACCCACTTTTTTCTTGCCTGTGATTCTCTCTTATAAAAGCTCCATGCTCAGGCGGAAAAGGTTCAGTAAAGGCTGGGAGAAGCTCTGGCATTACAAAATAGGAATATAAAATATGTGATCGCAGGAAGCCTTCCCTGAAAGTACTTTCTTTCCATCCAAGATGAAACGCTGAGGGTTGAAGGCTGAGGGCTGAACGCTGCTCTGTCTCTGCTGGTCCCCTGTCTGTGTAGCCCACCTGTGGTTGGGTTCCTGGGCTGGTTCTCCTGGGAAACAAACCCGGGTCTCCACTGTTCCCTCTTGAGTTTGCCGCAGGAAATCCGCGCACGTGTGCTATTATGGGAAGTGTTTCAGGGCATCTGGGAAAGCCACCGTAGCCCCCGGGGCAGCTAGCTTTCGATCCGTGAAACGGACACGTGCCATGTCTCTACTCAGGTAAACCACTTTTTCAAAGAACCTCCAAATTCCCTTCTCTCCGTATCTCTAACGGAGTCTGCTGTCCTGGTTACTGCAAGAAAGCCTCATTACTCAAAGTTGTTTGAAGCAAATCTCATCTTTTACCTTCCGTTTCCACTCTTCTCCTAGTAAATTTCCAAAGGAACGTTCCCCGCTGGATACTTTATTCTGTGCTTGTTTTATTAGGACCTACCCACCTCGCCCCGGCTGCTGAAGTGCTGAGCTACCCGCCTCCGAGCTCCTGCTGCTGCTCTGCCCTGCCCTCTAGTGGCATAAGGATGTCAGAGCAGCGGCCTCTCCGCCTTTCCGCTGCTGGAGGCTGCCAAACATGAGCCTTCAGCCCTGGCAATTTCTAGTAATAGAGTTCTTGCTTGATGCAGCTCTCTTGCCAGAAGAGGATCGACTTTAAGAGATAGCAGCTGTCTTGGACCCTAGTTTGAGTCAAAGTGCCCAAGAAATGTAGGCCATCCTGATGCATACAATATGTCACTTTGGAGTAACTACTCTGGGATCCTTTGATGTGAGCCTACAATTCAGCATGCTGGAGGAAGGATGGCAAGGTGTAAGAGATGCAACCATCCATCCATCCATCCATCCATCCATCCATCCAACCATCCATCCATCCATCCATCCAACCATCCATCCATCCATCCATCCATCCACCCACCCACCCACCCACCCAACCATCCATCCAACCATCCATCCATCCATCCACCCATCCATCCACCAATCCAGCCATCCATACATCCAGCCAGCCATTCATCCACCCACCCACCCACCCACCCACCCACCCATCCAACCATCCATCTATCCATCCATCCATCCATCCATCCATCCATCCAACCATCCATCCATCCATCCATCCAACCATCCATCCAACCATCCATCCATCCTCCATCCACCCACCCACCCAACCATCCATCCAACCATCCATCCACCAATCCAGCCATCCATACATCCAGCCAGCCATTCATCCACCCACCCACCCACCCATCCAACCATCCATCTATCCATCCATCCATCCATCCATCCATCCATCCATCCATCCATCCATCTATCCAACCATCCATCCATCCACCCAACCATCCATCCATCCATCCATCCAACCATCCATCCATCCATCCACCCATCCATCCACCCAACCATCCACCCATCCATCCATCCATCCATCCACCCACCCATCCAACCATCCATCCATCCATCCATCCATCCATCCATCCATCCATCCAACCACCCATCCAACAATCCATCCATCCATTTATCTATCTAACAACTATCTGAAACTTTGTTATAAAGAAGTTGGCTAACACAATTACAGAAGCTGAGAAGTCCCATAATCTACAGTCTGTGAGCTAAAACCCCAGGAAAGCTGGTAGTATAATTCCAGGCCGAGTCTGAAGGCATGAGAACCTGGAGTGCCAATGGTGGAAGTCCCAGTCCAAGGGCAGGAGAAGACCTACATCTCAGCTCATGCAGTCAGGCAGAGAGAGAAAATTCAACCTCCCTCTGCTTTTCAGTGTTATTCATGTTCCCAGCAGATTGGATGATGCCCACATTGGGGAGGGCAATCTCCTTCACTCAGTTCACCAATTCAAATGCTTATCTCTCCTAGAAACACCCTTATAGCTACACAGAAATAATGTTTAGTCCGTTTATCTGGATGTCCCATGGCCCAGGCAAGTTGACATGTAAAGTTCACCATCCTAGGGAAAAACTATTTGAAAGATGATGTAACCTGACAAAATTAAGTAATGTGCTGGCATAATAATGAGAAGAGGTAAATGGTAGCAATGTCAGCCTTATAGACGCTACAAGATAAAGAATTCAAAATTACTAACCATCATCACACATACTTCATGAGGAAGCAGAGGAGGGGCGGCCAACCAACGTCCAGAATGAAGCCAAGAAGGAACTTCAGAGGCTGGGGCATCTCACTCTCTTGTTCTGAGATGAGGCTGGGAGCCCCAGGGAAGGGCAGAGTAGTATCCTGAGCATCCTGAAGGGAGGACAGAAGGAAGACCAAAGGGAGCAACTTCCAGATGTCCTTTCAGAGGAGGAGACTCTTTAGAAAAAAAAAAAAAAGACTCATGAGAACAGAAAGAAAGAAATAGTTTGCAACATTCTCCATCCTCTGTGTATTCATTTTCGTTTTAATGTTATTTTTGGGGGGATAACATATTTTCTCTTCAAACCATTCCAGGCATTGAAAGTACAAAAAGTTAGCATAGAAGATTCAGTTCATTTCTGCTGCTCAGGAGAAGAAGGTGAAGATGCCCATATCCCAACTGGAATTTTGTGTTTTCCCTCTGGAAAGTCACCAGTGTATCACTCAGTAGGCTTCCACTCTGACTTCATATTAGAATAATCTTGATATTTTCTTTTTTAAAAAAATTTTTTAAGGTCTTATTTATTTGAGAGAGAGAGAGAGCACGAGCAGGGGGAGGGGCAGAGGGAGAGAGGAGCAGGCTCCCAGCTGAGCAAGGAGCCCGATGCAGAACTTGATCCCAGGACCCTAAGATCACGGCCTGAGCCGGAGGCAGATGTTCAACCAACCGAGCCAAACCAGGTGCCCCTAATCTAGAGATTTTCTAAAATTAAATCGCAACTGGGAGGGGGTATGGGGCTGGACATTTTGATTGGGAAGCTCCCCAACTGACCTTGGTGTGGCCAGGACTAGCCCATTCCATTAGCACTTGGCTAATGTACAGTGTACTCCAGGCACATTTGGTGGATTAGGTAGACATTTTGGAGAAATGGAGACAGGTTCTACCATGACTCCTAGACTGGCCTGCAGAGTTCCCACGTGTACCCCTACACACACAACGGGAATGATATTCAAACGGCTTTATTTCACAGCACTGTGGTCAGGTTATTGTTTTCTTCCTAAATTGCTTTTATTCCAAACCTTCTGAAATCTAGAAAAGTTTATAGTTAAAAAAAATACAACAACAACAACTGTTTCTCTGTACCAGCTACTGACTTTTATCTCTTATTTTGTATTTGGGTATTTTTTTCCCCCTGTCATGTATTCTATGTATACTGAAAGCATTTTCTCAAAAAACCCTTTCCTTCTGCCTTGTCTTTCTCCTTGACTCAGTGCCTACTGATTTGGTCTTTGAACCCCCAGCACTTTTGCTCCTTAAGTCTGTGGGGAAATGCTGCCTGCTCATGAGCCACACCCAAATCTGACTTAGCTTCTCCTCCTCGCAGCCATACTGCATTTGGAAAATGAGTGTCTTTTTTTTTTTTTTTTTAATTTTATTTATTCATTTGAGACACAGAGATACAGAGAGAGAGAGCATGAGCAGGGAGAGAGGCAGAGGGAGGAGAAGCAGGCTCCCTGCTGAGCCAGGAGCCCGATGTGGGCCTCGATCCCAGGACCCTGGAATCATGACCTGAGCCGAAGGCAGATGCTTAACCATCTGAGCCACCCAGGTGCCCCTGGAAAATGAGTGTCTTGATGAATTCACCTATGTTGGCCTTGCTGCCTAAACTGTAAGCCTGTAGAAGGAAATAACAGCTTGGATTGATTTCTCCAGTCTTGGACATATGGAAAGGGCTGAAACATTTTAGTAGATGTAAATTATCAAAGGCAAGATTCTCTTCTTCAATGTAAAACTAAATTTCAATGCAATTTTCATGTCGTGCTTGCCTGTTCTTCCTTCTACCCCTAACCTTCAGAGGTGATGCACACACTGGGTGAAGTTACGAGGTGCAGAGACTTCTCAGGGCAGAGGTCTGCCAAGCCTTCAGCCCCTTGGCTCAGAACTTCAACCTTCTGCAGGAGGAAATGTGCGAAAGTGGTCTGCTCCGCCCTCTAGTGGTCGCCAAGTTGCAGAACACCTTCAAAGACTAGGAGTTTTTACTATGTAAAAACTCTCCAGAATGGTATTGAAACTCTAGTTTGTTTAATACTCTGTGTATTACATACACAACTATTATCTCAGCCTTCATTAGCTGCTTAAATAAGAGGCTTGCAGTCCTTTGGTTAAGGGTCTGTAGTCATACATGGGAGGATCTCTCTGGAAGGGAGTTTCAGATCAGAGTCCTTACCACTGTAAATGTTGGGGGTCCCAGCAGCATCCCACAGGCCCCTTCAAATGTTTTCTCCCTTCCGTGTCCAGGTATTTTCCCATAAGGCACAGGAGCACCTGTGCAGATCAGGTCTGGTAAGGCTCCAGGTATTATAGTCCCTTAGGTTAAATACTCAAGCAAAAGTCTACAATAACAACCCAATGTGGTCCAGAACAGTTGACCTAGTATGTACCCCCAGGTGTTTAATCAAGCCTCACTGACTTAAAGAAAGTCACTTTGTTTCTGAGTTTTGTTGTTGTTGATAGTGGTGGTGGTGTGGTAATTTTTCATTTGTTTGCTGGTTTTTTAATTCAATCATGACGATAGAAACTGTGGCTGGGGTTTGGGGGAAGAAATCTAAAATATCACTGAAGCCAGCAGCTTTATGGAACCTACCACATAAAATGTCTTGATAAGGGGAAAGGACATTCTGATTCTGATCTGACCTTTCTCAGATAGGGGCTATGTAGAAGATGAGGAAAAATATGAGGAAGAACATAGCATCTGCAGAGAGAATATGCCCACGGCCTGCGAACAGTGCTGTCTTCTGTGGATGGTATTTTGTCGGCAAATTGCAAACATTTTCTCCAAATTGCAGGCACATTTTGAGTCCTGACGATGTGGTTCATGAAGCAATTTGTAGTCAGTTTCTTTCACAAAATGATGATGTTTAAGAACATCTTGCAATTAGGTCAAAGGAAAACAGTGTTTATTCTATGAGCTGAGAACAGGCTGCAAGCCTGAGTTCTCATTAACCCAGTGGTTGATTCACTAATGCCAGGCGTCTGTTGTGAAGGAAAGCATGGAAGCAGTTCCGCAGGTAACATTTTGCAAGGGGCCCTCTTTATAACAGCTGTCTGCTTGGACAAATGGTGGTGGCAATGCATGCACACCCTAATGCCTTGAAACATTTACCTGATGAAACCTTTACCACAAACTGGGTTCTTCTCACCTCAAATCCGATTGTGAGAAAATGGAGATTTTTTTCCCCTCAACAAATGTGTACAAGAGAGGTCCCTGGAAATAAGCAAGTGATCACAGATCAAAGTATTAGCCCATGCATTCTGAACAAACACAAACAGCAAGGCTCAAGAGAGAAAGCTCGGTTTTGTTTTCAGTGCTCTTAGATCACAATCGGCTCCTTCAGAGCCCCAGAGAACCAGGCGCAGAACAGTCCTTGTTCCACATTATGCTTTCCTTTTGCAGAGTTAAGGCTTTGACTGAAATGCTAACTGTGGAAAAACAGATCTGCTTAGGAGCCTGTAGGTTTCCACTTTATTCCACTTAATGATAGTGATGAAATCCCCCTCTGGTAAAGCTCCACAATCCTGTGAAAAGTGTCGAAGAGATTAATTAATGAAAAAAGAGCGATTCACCTGGTACCTCAAAGTTGACAGATGGATAGAAAATTAACCTTAGTAACTTCAGTATTCCTGCCGCCCAAATTCCTCTGTCCATTCTTTTTTTTTTTTTTTTAAGATTTTATTTATTTATTTGAGACAGAGAGAATGAGAGACAGCATGAGAGGGAGGAGGGTCAGAGGGAGAAGCAGACTCCCTGCTGAGCAGGGAGCCCGATGCGGGACTCTATCCCGGGACTCCAGGATCATGACCCGAGCCGAAGGCAGTCGCTTAACCAACTGAGCCACTCAGGCGCCCTCTTTTTTTTTTTTTTTTTTTAAAGATTTTATTTATTTATTTGACAGAGACACAGCGAGAGAGGGAACACAAGCAGAGGGGGTGGGAGAGAGAGAAGCAGGCCTCCCGCCGAGCAGGGAGCCCGATGCAGGGCTCGATCCCAGGACCCCGGGATTATGACCTGAGCCGAAGGCAGATGCTTAACGACTGAGCCACCCAGGTGCCCCTTCCTCTGTCCATTCCTGATAACACATTAAACACACACACACACACACACACACACCTCTTTTAGTCCTTTTGGCAAGTGTGTTTGTTTTCTGGTGTTTCTTCACGTGGGAGACAGGTTAAGGAGAGAAAGGATTACCTATGGGGAGGGAAGAAGCTGATTTAAGAACATTAATCTTTTTGCCAAAGGCATATACCTGGACATAGCAAGACTCTGACCTCTGTTAAGTTTAGACAGGAACCCAAACTCAAGCTCTCATCCTCAATGCCTCCTTTTCCCTCCTGTGCAGGGCTGCCCACCCCCAGTCCTTACTTCCCCTTACTGCCATCTGTCACCATCCTCCTCTTGAAGGAAAGCTGCCTTTGGAATAACCTGCCCCTCTTGGCTCTTGACTGATAAGGGCTGGAGAAAATGCTGCATGGAGACATAGCTTTGAGATTCTCTCTAATGGCAGGTGCCCACCGAAGAATCTCAAAAGATCTTCCACTTCCTTCCCACTCTTTAATTTTGTTGTGAGATCAGGGAGAGCAAATGTGGAACTTCCCATTTTAAAATGTGGGTTGTTGGGGCTGAAAATCTGAATGGAGTTGGTCTGAGCAAAATTACGAAATAGGTATTTGGTATCTTCCTTCATCTTTAGCTTCTTGCCCTCCCCATCTGCCCTCCCTTCAATTCCTCTTCCTTCCCTGCTTATTCAGTGCAGAACCTTCCAAGAGCAACTTCTCGGCTAGCTCTCAGCCCTTCCACCTTCCACCTCTTTAGCTGATCACCAGTAGGGTCTCAAGGCACACTGCATTTTAACAAGGCATCTTAATTCTCAGCTAGTGGGTAGGGATCCTCTCTATCCCCTGGGATCATGCTCCTAGAGAGGCTGCCTTGGGATAGATATGGTCAAATTCCCTGGAAAAATCAGGGAGAGTTCTAGCACTCTTACTCTCTAACTAGCATAACCTGCGAAGTGTGGATTTTCTTTAAACAGAAGATTGGCAACAGTTACTGATGTGAATTTTTCTGTTTTCATTGGCATTTTGATCTTGGATTTCTTAATACTTTAATCAAGCAGCTACTGCTTTCATGGGACACAATGATTTTTTTCAGATACAACATTTTTTTTTTTTTCCCCAA